GTATTGAAACTGTGGCATGTAGCTAAAACTATGATTAGAAAAAAACTAAAATTTTATCACTTCAAATGAATATATTATAAAAGAGGAAAGGCTAAAATAAGCTAAGCTTCTATTTGAAGGACCTTCTATAACAAGAACAAATCAAAGCAAATATTGGACTGTTGGAAAAGTCATGACATATTTTTCTGTGTAAAAATGTGTCATGACTTTTCTGATGACCCAGTAGATTTTTCTTCAGAGTCTGCATCTAGTAAATTCTCTCATTACTTAAAAAAAAAAAATTTTTAATTTTGGTTTTTGATACAGGGCATGTCTATTTCCCAGAGACACACACAGAGAGAAAGAAGAGAGGGAAAATGAGAAATCAACCCCCAGGTGGGTGGCTATGCCACAATCCCATCTCCTCTAGTCTCCTCTTGGTATTTTGGGTAAGCACACACATGTAATCACCATTTTTCAAGCTGTCCAATCTAGGACTTGAACCACAGAGTTGGTTATGTGTGATGCAGTGCCTTTACCATCACGTCATCTGCTGGACTCATTTGCATATTTTTATTGTCGATATTAGTTTTGCTGGGTATAGAATTCTAGATGGTTATTTCCCCCCACTACTTTAAGGACATGATTGTCTCAAACTTTTTTCTTCTGGTTCTATTATAAACTCCTGTTGGTCTAACAGTTTCTGTGGGATAATCTTTCATTTATGCCTGCTTTAAAGATTTTCTCCTTGTCTTTGAGGACTTACAGTTTCACTATGATGTGGGTTGATGTATTGATTTCCTATTTGTCTTACTTAGGGTTAATCGACTGTCATAAACCCTAGAACTTATATCTTTTTATGAATTCTGGAAATTTCCAAATTTGGATAAATTATTCAACTTCTTAAGTTTCTCTGCTTCTTGAAACTAGTCAGCATCTCCCTCATTTGACAGTATTACAATTCTGGCCTGTCACAATCTGGCCCCTATACATCTGTAATTATGTGTCTCCAGGGAAGCCCTGTTCCTCATATTGACGATTCTGTTTCTTATTCATAAATCAGCTCAGTTATCACTTACTCTGAAGTCCCTTCTGAAACTTTTCTCCAACCATTCTCTGTTTTATGTATCAATGTTTGACGGCTTATATATCTTATCAGTGGGGTTATATTTATCTATTTACGTGTAAATTTCACCCCACTAGACTCAAGTACCCAGTGGGCCCTCCCTTTGTATTTATGGAGACGGGGATTTTGTATGGACTCTATAAATGTTTTTAAAACAAGTGATTCACTGAATAGAGAAATGTAGACATTATCTACCTCATAGGGATCTTGTAACAATTAAATGTATACTATATGAAAATATGCTTGTAAATAACAAGTGCTAATCCATTATTTGAATCTCCACAATTCATGCATTACTTTTGTACAGTGGGTTATGTACTAAATTGGTTGTCTCTTTAAATCTCCTTATTCCATATGGCATAAGGCAGAGTTCTTAGTGTTCTCTGATGATAATGAAGTATATTCTTGGTTCTGTGCCTTTTCTTCCAATTGCTGTACTCCTCAGGACATTTTTTTTAAATCAAGAAGTTCTATGAGAATGCTGATATACTTTGCCAGTGATTACATTCTATCATGAAGACTTAGTGCCTCTGTGAGCATCCCCCTCTCGTATATGTTAATGGTGTCTTCCTGCTCTCCCTTTTGGCATCTCCAGTTTTACCTTATGAGCTAGGCTTTCGCTGACCCTCCAGATAAAACAGGAACCTTCCATCCACTGCCATTCTCTATCCCTTTATATGTGCTTTATTCTCTTGATACACTTATCTACAAATGAAGTATTACATATTTACCCTTTTTAGTTACACACAAGCATATAAGCTTGTTTGTAAATTAGGAACTTTGGTTTATGCCTATAACGGTGTCTAGCACCCAGTAAATGCTCAGTAAATATCTGTTGAAGGAATGTATCAATGTAGATGCCACTGGTTCTCCTCAGTAAAATCCTGGTGCTACGGAAGACAGACACAATACAGCTACTTTGAGCATGCCAGCCTTCAACATTCATCTCGATCTGTGATGAGATTGCAAAACTTGGCTGTTTTGCTTTTCCTTAGAACAGACTGCCTAATGCATGATTTCATCCTAAAAACTAAAGAAATCACTTCCTCTCCTGGCAGGCACCTAAACCAAGTTCTAAGCTGGCTGCGTACAAAGCCCGTCTGTTCTCTACTGGTTTAAAGATAGTGGCAGTTCCTGCCAGCCTTTAGCAAGGCTTTATTTTGCTTTCTGTTTTCTTTCACCACTTAAGGAAAATTTACATATCTTTTCTACCCATTTTATCATTTAGATCTTGGCAGGAGCTTTCAATTAATACTGTGTAGGCACGTGCAAAGAAAGCCTTGACTACGTTTATGGGAAATAGTCTTATTATATCATAGAAACAAACATCTAAAGCTATTACTTATTTGTATATTATTGGGGGCAGGGGTCCAGAAATGGCAAATGTCCTGATGAAGACCACATAACTACCCTTTGCAATATATAAAAAGATGTGTCTAATACCGTGTCCCATGATTCCTGGTCAAGTGGTCTTCATACTCTGCTGCCTTTAGTAAGTTAATGTTAAATTTAATTTTCCTTTAATAAGTTCATTTGTATTTCTCTTTTCATCTATGCAGTAACCTAAAGCCTCCCAATTCTTAACTTTCCCACGGGGTGAGCCTCTGTCTGTGCTATCAGACATCTTACAGCCTCAGCCTTCAACTATCAAACTACTCTTTGGTTTTTCATGTGCCATCAAGCTTTTCTCTCCAAATTTAGCATGACTGAAAACAATGTGATCTCTCTGCTCACATTCCAGGTCAGCTTTGTGGTCAGTTCAAACACGTGGCCCAAGAAGTCTGCCACACTCTATGCTCCGTCCCACAGGAGAACTTGCTTTTGCCTGTTGCTGCTTCTTAGGGATGTACCGGGCTCAGCTTGCTACTCAGGTTAGCAGTAAACACTGTGTCATAGACTGCCAGATGAGCAATGCCCAGTTTCTGTAGTGTACTGCACACTTACGGCTGGTGTCTCCTGTTGCCCTTCTACTTCCGCTGGCACCTTCTGGACTCAAGGTTAATGACTGGGGTTGTCACTGGACTGGCAGTGCCTCCTAGTGGACAAGACTCCAGAGGTTTCCAACTGAACCATGGCCAGGGCAGTCACAGTCAATCTGGCAATCCCTGCCTTGCCTTCTCCCTTTGGCACCTCGTACCCACATCATAGTGAGAGTTCAGCACTGATGAGGTCATCATGTAGCAGTTCTTTCCAGTATTTTGCTGACTGGATTTCCAAAAGTGACCATGACAATGAAAAACAATTGGGGGATGGGCAGTATACACAAATAGAAAAAGTTGCTAATGTCACTAGACCAGCTCAGTTTGGAAAGTGCTTTGTAATGTGGCCACTGGTTTTTCTCTCTGCAGTCCTACGGGAGCACTGAGACCCACTCTTGTAGAGACTTCAGCAGCTCAAAAGTGCCAGGTTATCCTCCTGGAGTCATACATACTAAGCTTCCTCAAGAATAATTGCAGATATGTTACAAAGATAGGCAGAGGCTCAGCTAGTTTCTCTGGAAGCTTGTATTCTCAAGTCAGTGTGATCCCAAAGATCATAGTTTATCTACTTCACATAAGTGAAAGATAAAGCATGTCTATGAGCATAACCTTGAGATTCCTGTCCTTAGGCCCTTGGTAGCACAGGATGTGCAAATATAGATTAGGGTCTGAGAAAGAACACTTGGGGGGAAGTACCTCAGAAACCTTTCTGGGGGCTGCCCAATTCATTCAATTAACCTCTACTCAATTAAAAAAAAAGGGGGGGAGTGGGGAGAACACCTTTGAGAACTGTGGAGAAATGGTGAAGGCTCCACTTCTCCAAATGGGAGAGAGAAACCCTGGGTAATGGATGAGGCCATGCCACAATGACACGAAGTGGGAAGTTTGTGGCTCCTAGGAACTCTTCCTCCTGTATGTCCCTCAGGTCCCCAGTACATCCTCTGTCCCTATGCTGTGTCATGTCTCCTCTGAGACTGCGCCCACCGGGACTTTCTTTTACCCCCCAGGGCTCGATTCCCCTAAATGGCATACATTGTTGACAGAACTTCCTCTACTGCCCTAAATTCTGTCTGAATGTCCTTACAACTGATTACCCTTCCAGTGTCACTGCAGCGACTCGGTGTGTCAGAGTCCAAGGGCTTCAATCTGGGGCCCACAGACACCACATTCAGATAGTGTTTATTCATTCAACCTGTAAACCCAACGGATTTAGAGGTTTCATTGGAGAAAGACACACACCCTAAGGAATTGTGCAGTAGGATTTCTCTTCAGCAGTTGTCGCTTGCCTACAAAGGTTCATGGATAACTGTAGAATATAAGCAAACAGAGAAAGACTAGCAATTTTGTGGAAGTCCTAGGCAACTAAAATTCACTGTGGTCAGAATTCTATGAATTAAGAAAGGGAGAGGTGAGTGAACATAAGGGACATTATGCTGCAAGCCTGACATTTGTACTGGCATCGACTGTGTCTTGTTCAATAAGTTTCTTGGGTTTCTAAGAAATTTCTAGAATATGCACCTTGCCAATTAGAAACTTCCAGTGTATAGGATTCTCAGCTGGACTGGTCTGAGGTGTACATCATGCTGGGTAAAGTTTCTTTACAATCTAAATGATGTATAGCGATTGAATGTATAAATAATAATAAATAATTTTTTAAAAAACAATAAACTCCCAGGAACAGACCAACCCCGTCTCCCCGCATCCCCACTTTAACCCCTTGGCCCCTTTCCAGTTCCCTTCTTCAAATCTCCTACACCTATCCGAGTCTGTGCCTTCCCATTGCTAACCAGCTTAACCATCTCCAAGGCAGCACTCCTTGGGCAGCCAAGCCAGCGCTGTGGGGTCCAGGAGCTCCTGCATCCCCATCCCGGGCGCGCAGGCGGCTCCGGGCCGCGCCGCGCTGATTCGCTGCGCCGACGCCCGAGTGCAAGCTCTGCGCCGCCGAGGAGAGCCGCGGCGAGCCCCAGAGCCAGCACAATGCAGGCCACCGCCGATTCCACCAAGATGGACTGTGTGTGGAGCAACTGGAAAAGTCAGGGTATTCTCTTTATTTCAGTAGTGCATGCCTGCGGCGCAAGGGAAACCGGGATCTGGAGTCGTCCATTGTGCATCATTTCACCTGTGGGACCTATCTTATCTGTGCATGCGTTATACCCAAGAGCTTTCTGTTGGGGGGAGTAAACCTGTTATTTCAAGAAGCAAAATGGATGGTGTTTGATTTTTTCTTTCTTTCTTTCTTTCTTTTTTTTTTTTTTTTAAAAAAAAAACTCCCATCTCTCATTCCCCCCTTTTCTTGTTTTAATGCCGGTATTTTTAATAATGCATCCTTTGCCTCCTCCGGGAGCTCTTTGGGGATCTGTTAATCATTCAGTATTTGTTTAATCTTTTCTCATCCCTGGAGTTAAAGTGCTTTCTTATTGTTACTGGCATCCCAATGCATTTATTTCTGTCGAAGGGTTGAAATCTCTTGGCAGAATCTTTAACTGAAAGGGCTCTAGAGCATCCTTTTAAGAGGGACACACCCATTTCAGGGTTGTTATTTGTGGTCACACAAAGGAGACTGGAAATGCAGACTAGCTCTTGAAATCTTGAAAATATGATGGCGTAGCCACATATTAGGATGGTTCACTTTGCAACATTTCCGTGTTTTTGTTTGTCATTGGAGTAACCTGTAACTATTATTCGTTAATAATGGGTATCTGTGGAATGAATGGAGGGAAATAACAAAACAATGCTGGTTGCCCTCCGGTATAACAGATTTATTTTGAAACAGTCCATATTAGCGCTGGGTGTGGCCACCCTCCAGCCTCTCTTGGATTGCTTTTCAGCCATTTTTATTCAGCCTCATACTTCACACACCCATCTCTCCTTTGTTACATTAAATGTTCTCCTTCACCTTGCTTAGTTTGAGGCTGTAAGAAGGATCATTTGCAAGAATGAATTGTGTGTGGCAAACGTGTGTTTTGGTAAGGTGAAGCGTTTTTAAATATTTATCGAACATGTTTCGAAGAAGGCGCCTTTGATTAACCTGCAGGGTTTTGTAGCCTCCCTCAGGGGGCCAAGAATTCAGTGGAGAAGTGGCTGATTTTATAAGAACGTAGCATCTTCCCCTTGGAATTTTATACTACAGAAAGAATAGGATGACTTCTTTATCTTGAATGCCTCTGTGGGGTTTCTTTTTGGTATAATTTTTAAGAAAAGGTAAACATAAATCTCAGAATTAAAAGCATGTTTGCTTTGCTTCTTATTCGTCAAACTGGGTGGCAATGACCTAAAATACAGTCGTCTACTCCAACTGATGTGGGTCTATTGGAAATATAGTTGTCTAATGCAAATAGATGGGCCTGATCAATTCAAAAACCAATAAATAAGAAATGTACTGCAATTGAGAGGCATAATTTTAGAGACCACTGACTACACAGAGTAACATGTTTAATGTAGAAGGCAGCTATGAATATTGTTTGTAACATCGCACACTCCTTATGTGTTTAGACCTAGCCAGTGTATTTGGTAGACACACTCATCCTAGCTTGATGTAAAACCAAGTTTAGACATAAGACTGGCTTTTAGACTATGATTATGGGTTTCTTCTAGCCTTAAGAAGAATAGATACCGAAAGATGGCATCTGTTTTATTTGTGTGAGATACAGAACACTATTTCATCACAGCTCTATGTGTTGCCTTGGTTGACCTTTTCTTGGGTTTAAAAAAAAAATGCATGAGCATGTATAATCACAAATTAATACACAATGCCATGATTTGTCCACTGAAAACAATTATGACCATTTCCAATGTACAGCTACATGTGAAGATTAATTCAAGATCATTGAGGACCTTTTATACTCAGTGACCTTTGGTAGTCTTCAGTAATAATAATTTCCTTTTGTCAGATAAAACAAAGCCATTATCTTGAAAATTGACTAATAACCAGCTGGGTGAGTGGGTTTAATAGTTCAAAAGGGAAGTGGTAAGAAGTGAATTATTTCTTTTTTTTTCCTCCATACTGTGAGCATCATCTAAACTCAATCTATAATGAGAAATTTGTTTAGCATTTTCAATGTATCTTCTTCACTCTAGTTTTTCGCTATCAAAAACAGTTGTTCTTAATCCTGGTTGCACTAGAATCACCTAGGAAGCTTTAAAAAAAAAATGCAAAGGATGCTTGGGCCCCTCCCCTAGAGAATCTGATTCAATTGAGCCACACATCAGTATGTTTTAAAAGCTCCTCAGGTGTGTTTAATATGCAACCAGGGTTGAAGCCACTGGTGTGTAATAATTCCTAGCCCAATCCAAAAAAAAAAAAAAAAAAACAGCAGAAGGCCAGTGTACAGATGATGAAATGAGTGTGCTCTAGGAACAGCTGGGAAGGCAGTTAAAAGAAGTGAGTTGTTGTTGACAACGTCCTCTGGAAGTATTAATAGGAGGGAACGTTGCTTGCGAGCTTCAGGTTTCCTCTATATTATAAAGTATCCCATGGAAAAACAGCAGATTGACTATTTCATGAAGACTGTACTGAAACTAATTACAATGTGTCATACAAACTGTAGCACGCATGCAAAAGGAACCTGATTTAGCTTACTAACGTGTGACTTCAGCCAGAGATAAGAATGTGTAAAGAGAAGCTAAAGCCCACGTTATTACTACATTACACAGATTCTGCTACCAACTTGAAAAAAATACGCAACTACCACCAAATATTGATCACTAAACCAAAGCATATTCTATTCAGGGAGAACCAAATTAATATAACAGCCTATTACAAATACCTATATAGGTAATAGTCTTAGCAACCACTGCAACAGTGATATTCTCAGGGTACTTTGATGCATTATTGCATTTAATCCTCTCAAATCCTATGACGGGCACGTTTTATTATTACGCCCATTTTACAGATGAGCTGAGGCTTCCATTAGGTCACTTAGCTAGTAATGGCAGAGGCTAGAGTCAAGCTTGGGCTGATTCCAAGCCCATCATTTCTCATTGCACTGCCATCTGCCTTTGAGGTAGGTGGCTTTTTCCTCAATGAATTTGCTGAAAATATTAATTACGAAGGCAATGGTGATTGTGTGGGCCTTGTAACCACTCACATTTACAAGCTTTCAATTTTTAGACATCTTCTCATTTGGGCTTTTCAATTTATTCTTGGACATCATAAGGCTTAAAGAAGTGAAGTGACTTGCCCAAGATTTTGAAATAAGTGGATAATTAAGTAATGAAAGGTGACTCCCTTGGCTTCAGATCCAGAAGTCTTCTCCTCTCAATAATCACTGCTTCTCTTCCTATGGCTGATTAAATAAAGTGCACTCTGACTCACCTCTTCCGAGATGTTTTCATAGAGGTTCTACAGGCAAAGCAAAACTGAGCAGCAAAGCAGTAATCTTGACCAATTTATGCCATCATTGTCATCATCACCATCATCGATTCATCATCCTACATTCTCCTATGTGCCAATCACTGCCCTAAGCTCTGTGATATACTTTGTCTCAATTAAACCTCCATGAGATTATTGTTACTTTCTTTATCATAGAGGAAGAAACTGAGAGATTTATGCTTTAATTGAAAGGTTCAGTAATTTGTCTCAGGATGTACCGAGTCCTGAACACAAGGGAATCTGATAATGACACCAGCGCTTCTAACTATCCCACCATACTACTAAATCCAAATGGTATGGTACCAGGGGAGCAAAGTTGCATCAGACCATCTAGTCACATGATTTAATTTGTGATCTAAAGATCACTTTTTCCAAATTGCACTGGACTCAATCAAATCACCTGGTAGGACACTGAGTGACGTGATGGATTGATTGATACATGCTGTGTGCTTAAGGCTAATGGTCAGCTCCCACTATGCTCTGCGTGGCCACACTCTGTAGTTACAGCTTCCCTGCACGTAAAGTATCCATGGAGGATGACACACTTTCCAGAGAATATAACCTAAAGCATTTGTTTTTTACAAACTAAAATATTTTGCAAATTTTACATTGGCCTGTAGTACGCTGCAGGAATACTTCAAGGTACTCTGTTCTGAAAGGCTCCAGTTCAAAACATTTATTGAAGAGCCAAACACCCCAGAATACACAAAGGAAATACCTGTTTTAGTCTCACTAATTAAAAGAAATGCTCATCTTTTGAAATACCTGTCTATATTTGGTAAAGACAATATTACACATAAATACAGACCAATGCCACCTTTTATTAAAATCAGCATGTTACATGGACTCATCAGTATCAGAATATGTGTAAACACTGCAACATAAATATTATATTTGCAAATTCCCTCCCTGCAGATTCTAATGAGATCCATTGGGAAAACTGGTATATCTGGGGAACTGGGCTTTTTTGCTTTTTTTTTTTCCCCCCCCTCTTAGTGAAAGAAAACTCTCATTATGCAGGTAATATACCAAGCGTAGGTAGTCAGTCCATCAAAACAGAAATTCTCTTTTTTTGCAATATACATTTTAAAGGGAATTGTTCCAAGAGACTATTTCAAAGTTTGGTGAGAGAATAATGACTCTTTTTTATTTAAAATGATACATGCACATTATGAAAATTTTCATATCTACCAAGAGAGATTCAAATGAAAGCCACAAATCATCCAAAATTCTACCAGAATTAATATTAATAATGGATGAATATGATCTAATATGAGGTAAATATACCAGAAAAATAAAGCTAAAGGGCCATGTAGGCAACGAAAAGCTTTTATAAATAAATTATACCTAGCTCAAAAACTATTTAACACAATTTAATTAATAGAAGGAACTGACATGAAACTGAAGGAATTGTGAACTCTCAGATGGATTTTTCCTTACTATATGGACTATTCTTTCTAGATTTAAGAAAAAGGTTGATGAACATCAATAGGTTAGAATCATTTTTAAATTACAGGTTTCCATTTTAGACTGTACAGATGGACTCTCTGCAGTATCTAACTTTATTTTAAAGGAGATCCGCTGTGGGTGGGAAAGGTGGACAAAAATTCACTAACCTAAATTCACATATTCAAATCTATTTTTTTCAGATTTCATAAATTAATTAA